CCTCCCCATTTCTCAGCCCCGTGAGTCCCCCCCCGAGCCAGCCTGCCAGCACCGCAGGCTGCATGAGCGGCTGCAACACCCTCGGGACGGGCAAGTCCCCCCGTGGCACTGTTTATCCCGCCCCATTTCACTCCTGAAAGCACAAAGTGTTTTCTGAAACCTCTCAGACTGCATCCAACACCCTGATGGGTCGGTCTCCAGGAGGAGAAAACGTTGCGGGAAAAACCTGGTGTCTCTCGGGGCGTGGAAGAAGAGAGTAGATGCTCCGTAAGCATGGGTCCTTTAGGTTATGTGGAAGCTATAAATTAAAAGCTGGGTTGCAGCAGTCATCAGAGCCAGACGGTTTGGGGCCTGACGTGGGATGGAGAGGAGGATTTGCTCGGGATGGACCTCGGCAGTGCAGTTCCCCCTGCGCCAGCCAAGTCCGCCAGCCTCGGCGCGAGGCAGCACCCCTGAGCTCCCGGGGTCCATGGGCGCCGTCTGGCCGTGGATGGGTGGGTTATCCCCTTCTGCAGGGTGGTTTTTCCCTTCCAAGCCACCCACATTTCTGGTTTGGCTGTTCCCATCTCCCTGCTGCTCTGAGCTCCGGTGTGGGATGGCGTGGAAGCGACTGCTTGTGCCGGCGGGTTGCAGGAGGGTCTGTACCTGGGCTGGGCTTTGCAGAGCAGAGACCCCCGAGCCATGCGGCTGAGCGGGGACCTCTATCCCACGGCTGTACCCCTTCTGCACGGACCATCTGAAGCGTTATTGCCTGCCCCATGTCATGTATGACTGTGCCAGCCTGTGGTCCTGAGCACCCTGCGGTCAGGATGCGTCCTAAAGCGGCTGTGAGGTCCCCTCTTCTTGCCCAGCGCATTGGAGTCACAACCAGATGCAGTTCTCGGGTTTTGGGTAGGACTTGCAGCAGCTTGAAGAAGCAGGTGCCTCTCCGAGATGCCTCCAGCCTGCGCTCGATCAATGGAGAAGCTGTACCGTGCCTTCCTCGATGCCGGGACAGCTGCAACTGCCCTGGGCAGGGTGGCAGGCAGCCGGCCCCCCTCCCCATCCCCAGGTCACCCCTCGGCACAGCTCTTGCTTCACCCCGCATTTCCCATCCGAGGGTCCTCCCTGGTTGCGACCATGTCCTCCGAGGGAGAGGCGAGGGTCCGGCTGGAGGTGGGCACCACTGTGCCCGCTCCCCGGGAGGAGGGAGCGTGCATCGCTCACCATCCCCACCGCAGCCTGCCCCGGCCCCTAGATCATCCCCGCCAGGTAGGGCGGGAGGAAGAGCCCCACGGTGCCCAGCAGGCAGACGATGATGAACATCCAGAGGAAGATGCGGTCGATCACCATGGCCACGTACTTCCAGTCCTCCTTCACCTGCCGAGCAGAGAGGGGCCGTGAGTGCGGGCAGAGGATGCAGCCCCCCGTTTGTGAGAACCCCTTGGAGTTAGGGGACCACCCGGGGCTTCCTCTGCCTCTGCCGTTTGCCTCAGGGCGAGGAGATACCCCGTGTCTCGGGAAATCCCTGGAGCAGCAGGGCTGGGGGATGGACCTCTCCAGGGAGGCTACTTGGGGCAGAGCTAATCCCACCCAGGGTTTTCTGAAACCAACTGGCTAAAAGTAGGGGTGCAGCCCCTGAGCCGGGTCCCAGCAGGGCAGGCTGGGCCATCGCTGCTCTCCGAGGGCAGGACAGAACGGGCAGGAGAGGGACCTCCAACATCCCCGCAGCCGTCAGGGACGGGAGCTGGAGGAACCCTCAACTGAACCCATGGACCGGGCACCTCCCAGGAGGTAGTCATTGATTTTCTCCCTGGCTTTGGGTCCTCAGCAGCCAGGAAACAGGCCGGGGGTGCCAGCACGGACCCCTCCGTGGAGGTACAAGTGAGGGACCCCCCTCCTCACCCCCCAGCCCTCGGGGGCACCCACTCACCGAGAAATCGGCATCCTCAGCTCGCAGGTGGTCCGCGATGTACTGCACCCCTTCCAAGGCCTTCAGGATGCTGGGGGACAGCATCAGCCCCGGGTCCGAGCCCACCTCCTCCTCCTCCCCCTTGGGGGGCACTCGGGGGGCTGAGCCCCCCGACGTCTTCCCAGCTTGGCGCCCGCAGTCATAGCGGCACTGGGCGCCCTGGCCACGGGAGCCTGCCTGGGATATGCGGCTGGGGTATGTCTTCTCTTCCTCCTCCTCTTCTTCCTCCTCCTCCTCTTCCTCCTCCTCCTCCTCCTCCTCCTCCCACTTGCCATCCACATCGGTCTCCAGCCAGCACCGGGAGGTGCTGAGCCTCGTCCCCGGGAGGTCGTACTGCCCCGCGCTCCCCTCGGGGGGAGGCAGCGCCGGAGGTCGCTTCATGAAGAGCCAGCGAGGGATGAAGTCCAAGAAGAAGCTACGCACCCAGTGAGGCATCGTGTGGGTGCTGGGTGAGCGGTGGTGGACGTTGAGGACGAACACGGTGATGATGATGGAGAGCGTGACGAAGATCATAGTGAAGAGGAGGTACTCACCGATGAGAGGGATGACCAGCGAGGTAGATGGGATGATTTCCGTGATGAGCAGCAGGAAGACAGTGAGGGAAAGCAGGACGGAGATGCAGAGGGTGATCTTCTCCCCGCAGTCGGAGGGCAGGTAGAAGACCAGCACAGTCAGGCAGGAGATAAGCAGGCAGGGTATGATGAGATTGATGGTGTAGAAGAGCGGGAGGCGACGGATGATGAAGCAGAAGGTGATGTCGGGGTAGATTTCGGTGCAGCAGTCATACTTCTTGGAGTTATAGGTGCCGATGGCCTTTATGATGGCCCACTCGCCGCTCTCCCAGTAATCCTTGAGATCCACGTGGTGATCCATGTTCTCCAGGTCGATCTTGGCCTTGTCGTAGGTCCAGGAGCCGAATTTCATCTTGCAGTTCTGCTGGTCGAAGGGGAAGAAGGTGACGTCGATGCTGCATGAGCTCTTGTAGATGGCGGGTGGCACCCACTTCACCTTCCCGTTGGAGAAGAGGTGGGCCTTCGTCATGTGGGTCACAGCGAACTCCCCGTCAGCACTGCAAGGGTGGAGAGGTGGAAGGTCAGAGGAGGATGAAGGGTTTCCCCCAAGAAATAGGGCCAGGAGCTCCCTCAGCTCTCAGGGCTGGTATAAGCCTTGACCTCAAATCAAGGAGCTGTGGCCCCATCGTGCATCTCTGCGGGGTTCACCCTCCTGGGCATCATCCAGAGCATGGAGATGGGTGGGAGTGTGAGCACCGGACATGGGGAGAGGGATGCAGACTGATTTACATCCTTACCAGTGGGGTGGGATGGAGAGGAGGAGGCCCGTGGGGGCTGGCAGTGCCAGGGAGCTGCTGGGAGGGGATGGGATGGGATGGCATGGGATGAGATGATGGGGTGGGATGGGATGGGATGGGATGGGATGATGGATCTGGCCCAAGGGGTGCCCCATCTTGGCAGCTCCACTCACTTGTTGTAGAGCACGATGTCGGGGATCCAGATCATCTCAGAGGGCACACGGATGGAGGTGACGTTGTCAAAGTCAGCCGGGTCCCAGCGCAGCTTGTAGTCGCTCCACTCCTGGAGGGAGACACGGAGAGGAGGGCGCCAGGTGGCCCTCAGTCTGGTGGGACCGAGCTGCCCAATGCCACCTTCCTCCTCCTCTTCTGGTAGCATCTCTCCGAGGAACAGCACCGTGGAGGTGCCACCAAGCCCCCCCCTGGGCAGGGGCTTTCTGCCCCAAATGCTGTGCCCTCCTTGGCACGCTCCTGCCCTTGCCCCAGAGAGGGAACAGGCTCCTACCTGCTTCAGCCAGACGTTCGTGGTCATCATTTGGTTCTTCTCATCCTGCGGTGGGAAAGAGGGAGAGATGAGAGGAGACAGGCCGAGAGAGCCCAGGGGCTTGTCCCGTCAACGCATCGGCCCCCAAATTACTGCTTTCACTTTCTGCCCTCTGCCTCTGGGGTTCAGCTCCTGGGAGCAGCTGGTACCGGTACAAGTCCAAGGAGGGGCTGTGTTTCCCCGCGATATCTGCTCACTAGATGGCAGCAAGAAATAGCATTTTGCAGCGTACAGCTCTGAGCCGCTCGGATGGATGGACAAATGTACCGTCCCGTGGATAGGTGGATGGGAGGATGGCTAGACGGACAGACGGACTGATGGATTGATGGATAGGCTGATAGATGGACGGGTGGGTAGGTGGGTGCGCATGGGAGGAATGAGCAAGGGATGGATGGACAGGCAAACCCAGAGGTGCCTCGGGGCAGGTAGATGGCGGATAAGGACGTGGCAGGGATGGAGAGCTGCAGTTTTCCTTGATGCTCTCCTGCTGTCAGGGGAAGGGAGGGTTTGGGATGGAGGGGGGGGGGTGCAGACCCCCCTGCTCGTTGGAGGCCTGGGGGAGACAGAGCGGGTCATTTGTCACCCGCGGGCGATGGCCAGGAGGTTGCTGGTGCCCGAACCCAACCTCGCGCCAGTGTCCCAGGCCCTGGTCTGGCAGACCGGTAGGACCAACGGGTGAAAAGACAGACACCATGCAGGACTGGGGTCTCCACCGGCGGGCTACGCACCACGTCGATCAGCTGCGCGATGGAGAGCCCGAACTTCACGATGACCACGTCGGAGGTGTTGGGCACCGGCCGTGACCAGCGGTTGTAGCCGGTGAAGAGGTGCTTGAAGAGGCGCTCCTCGGCATGGCTGCCCAGCTGCTCCTGCAGGCAGGCGGCTGCGGGGAGATGAGGGTGGGGATGGGGACGGGGATGGGGCGGAGGAGAGCTTGCTGACTTGCGTTTCGGTGCTGGGTGGGGATTCAGGATGTCCCGGTCCTTTGCCCGGCTTTGCCTCCCATTCCAAGCAAGCCCCCTCTCTGCCGCAGCAGGCAGGGATGCTAAACCTCACCTTGGGATGGGGAGAGGGAAATTAGCCCCCTCAAGGCTGCCCCGTGCTCCTCCCGGGGAGCAGAGAGCGGTGCAAGGTCAACCTTGCAATGCTGGCTGAGAAAAACCCCACTTTTGGGTGGCTGAGGTCCCTCTCCCAGTCCCCTCCAGCTGCTCTTACTGGTGCTAACTGGTTCAGCTTTGCAAGGTGGAGGCTGACCCAGTCCTTGGGAGAGCTGCAGCCTGCCCAGAGACCATGCCTCAGGCTGGGCTGGAGACAGGGCTGAGAAGGAGGGCAACGCTCTTTGATCTGCCTAGAAATTGTTGGCATTGGTTTTCGGTGCTGTCACAGCTTGCGGTGCATCGCTCGGCCGTCCTTGCTCGCTGCAGAGCCCCATAAATTTCCACCAGCAAGCCGAGGGAGGCCGAGGGAGGGAGGGAGGGCTTTGCACAGTGATGTGCAACCAAAGAGACGTTGTACGGGTGGCTCTGCCCTGAAGAAGGATGGGTGTACGGCCCCACAGCATCTCCCATGTCCCGTGTAAGCTCTCACCCCCCGGGCAGGCAAGCCCAGCAAGGGGCCCCGGTTGTTGTACTTTGGCCAGGGACGATATTCTGAGCAGCCTCGAGGGTCTTAGAGGTGTTGGGGAGGGCTGGTCCCCAGTGAAGGGACAAGCAAGATGCCCTGCTCCTGGGAGGTCTTGCGTCGATGGGGGGGTGGAAGCAAAATCCTTTTTTTTTCCTGTCCCTCCAACATTTCTAGCCTGCACAGGATGGATCTGGGGTCCCAGAGGTGCATCCCCTGTGGGGGATGACCCAGAGCAGACCGCCCCCACCCAAGTGTCTGGGTGGTGTCAAGCTGCTCTGCAAAGACACAAACCCCGTCCTAGCACGGCGCGTGGTGGAGGACATGATGCCAGCCTGGAGACTGGGGGGGGCTGAGAGACTGCATGGGGGTAAACTGGGAGAGAAATGGTTTTCCATGTGCACGCTCCACAGCCCCCTCAGCTTTCCCTCCCCACTCCCCAAATTTACCCCCCCCCCCAGGGTCCCAATGGGTGACACCCGTGGGAAGGCAAGGCTCAAGTGAAGGAAATTCAGGTACCCCAGGGAAAGCCAGAGCTGCCCTTACCCGTCTGGAAGGTGACGAAGCACCACGCGACGAGAGGGACGATGCCATGGGACAGCCGCCCCATCCTCCTTGTACTAGCGTCCCCCGTGGACCCACTCCCTGGATCAGTTTGCAAAGCCCCCCAGGAGGGACCAGGGGGAGCGATGAGCTGAGATGGTGGTGGGAGAGGAGGCTCAGCAGGGAAAGCCACCATAGGGGACCTCTGACGGGGTGTCCTGCGTGTCCCCACCATTAGCAAGCGCTGGAGGAGCCATGGATGGAGCTGGACATGGGCTGGGAGAGCCTCAGCAGGGACACAGACAGGCCAGGGTGGGTGCGTGGTCTGGGATGCTCTGCCGAGCTGCCTGCCCCAAATTTCATTCCTGGAAAGACAGCAGAGAGCGGGCACTGTCACCGCGATGCCACCGCGGCGCGGGTCCGGGAGGTGACGGTCCCGCTGTGGTCGCCTCAAAGCCGCTCCCAGCCGCGGAGCGGGGCTTGGAGCTGATCCGAGCTGCCACCATGGCAGAGTCAGGGGAAAATGTCCCCAAAGCATCTGCTCCCCGTCTCACGAGTGCTCCTCAGGCAGGCAGGGCGCGAATCTGGGCAGCGTCGGTCGCAGCCGGGCGGCCGGACCCCGTGAGTTAAAGCGATGGGGAGCCCAGGTCTGCCCCCGGGTGATTTAATAGCAGAGATGGAGCCCGGTGCTCCAAACATTACTGGGGTGACCGGAAAATAACTGGTTTCAACCATCCTTCTGCCCTCCCCGACTTGAAGCTGCCTCGTGCCCTGAGAGTGAGGGAGGGGGAAGCATCTCAGCTGCTCCAAGAGACTGCGCTGCCCCGAACGGGCTCCTGGGGCTGGTTTCTCCAGGAGCGCTCACTTCTGAGAAGAGGAATCATCCTTTCACCACCCACCCTCGTCCATGCGTCTATCCACGCATCCATGAATCTGTTCGTTCACCCATCCATGCACGCATCCATTGATCCTTGCACCCGTCCACCCTCCCACGGATGTGTTTGCTTCCCCTCCCCAGCAAAGCGAATCTCTGCAAGGGGAGAAACCACTTGCTCTGCAGAGGCTCCAAAATCTGCTCCTGCTTACAAGGTGACTCCTCCGCACCTGACCCGTGCCCCCATCAGCAGTCTCCCCTCTCCGGGAGGCAGTTGCTTTCATCCCCGAAGAGAAAGAGGTTCCCAGCCCAGCACTGATGTTGCTAAACAAGAAGCTCCTTTGGCTTAAAGTCCTCCCTGGCCCGGTAAAACCACGAAGCCCTCCTGAACTCATCATCATCTTCTGCGCAGTTTTCAACTGATTAATACGCGGATGGCGGAGGGGGTGGGAAACGGGAGGAGAAACACCGGCCACTGCGCCGAGCTGAAGAGAAAATTATGGATGTGCCTCTCCTGGCTGAGATATCTAAATATACCGGAGAGTACGGGGTGGGCTGGGGGAGCTGCTCCCGCTCCGAGCTGGGTTATAGGGTCACACGAGTGGGGATGTCGTGCGTTCCCCAAAGCTCTGATAGATATTGAAGAGGGGAAGGAGGTGCCCTGGGTGATGCAAAGCTGTGCTGGAAA